TTGTGAATTTTTATTATTTCCGTAATTTCTCAGATAATTCTCCCTATTTCTATAATTCTTCCTTAGTCATTGCAATTCTTGAAAAACTCGTAATTTTCGTAATTCCCGTAACTTTTTCATAAATCCCGTAACTTACCAAAAATTATCGTAATTTTTTCGCAATTCTCGTGATTTTTCCTTATCTCTTCCAATCTTTATATTTCCTGTAGTTCCTCAAATTTTCGTAATTTTGTAATTCCCGTAATTTCTCAAAAAAAACTCCGTTATCTTTATAATTCCCCCCCAGTTTGTTGTGATTCTCAAAAATTGGTAATTCCCGTATTTTTGTTTTCTTGGAATTTTCGAAAATTCTTAAATTCCCGTCATTTTTCAAAAAATTCTCGTTAATTTCATAATTCCCCCTTAGTTTTTGCAATTTTCGGAAAATTCGTGAATCCTGTAACTTTTTGTAATTCTTGTTATTTTCGTAATTTTTTGAAAATTGTCACAATTTTTTTAATTCTCGTGATTTTTTCGTATTTTTCATAATTTTTGAATAATTCCTGTAGTTTTCAGATTTCCGTAATTTTTTAATTCCTGTAATTTCTCAGAAAACTCCGTTATTTTCATAATTTTGAAATTATATAAGTCTCGTAATTTTCGTATTTTTATTTTGGGAATTTTCCAAATCTTGTAATTCCTGTCATTTCTCAGATAATTCTCGTTATTTTCCTAATACCCCCTCTTAGTTTTTACAATTTTCGAAAAACTCTAAATTTTCGTAATTCCCATTACATATTTTTTAATTCGTGTCATTTCTGAGATAATTCTTGTTATTTTCTAATTCCCCGTTATTTTTTTCAATTTTTGGAAAACTTGGTAATTTTCGTTATTCCCGCAATTTTTCGCGCTTTTTCCAGTAATTATTTTAATTTTCAATTTTCCTAATTTCCAAAAAAATTCGGAATTTTCTAATTCTCCCTAAGTTATTGTAATTTTCGTAATTTCAAAAAATTGTGATTTCCGTTATTTTGGGAATTACCGTAATTCACGTAATTTTGAAATGACTTTGTAATTCTTTTCCGTAATATTTCGTAATACCCGTAATTTTTGTAATTTTCGTAGTTTTTTGTATTTTTCTCAATTCTCGTAATTTTCATAATTTCTCATAATTCCCGCAAATTTTCGTCATTTCCGTCATTTTACTAGGTTCCGTAAATTTTTAAAATTCCCATTATTTTTCGTAATTCCCGTAATTTGTCTTGTTAGTTTTCGTAACAAAAATTAGTAATATTTAAATAATTGACGTAATTTTGGAGTGACTTCGTAATTCTTTTGCGTAATATTTGGCAATTCCCATAATTTTTGTAATTTCCGCAATTTTTTGTTATTCCGTGATTCTCGTAATGTTCCGTAATTCTCGTAAATGTTTGCAACTCTCTCTCATTTTTCATATTTTACGTACTTTAGCGTAATTCCCGTAATTTTTCGTAACTTTTCAAAAATTATCGTTATTTTCGTAATTTTGAAATGAAGAAAAATGAGGATAAAATCGTGGAAAGTGATGATAAAATCACAAAAAAAAAGAGTCAAAAATCGCAAGAAAAATATGAGTCAAAAATTTCAAAAAGAGTGAATTTAAACTCGCGGAAACGTAAGATGAGACTCACGGAAAAATGAGGATAAAGTCACGAAAAGTAAGGATAAAATCGCGGAGAATGAAATATGAATCGCGGAAAAGTGAGGATAACATCGCAAAAAAAAGGTGAGACAAGAATCGCGGAAAAATGAGATTACAATCGTGAAAAAGTGGATTTAGAATTGCGGTAAGTGATGGTAAAATTGCAAAAAAATGAGTCAAAAATAAAAAAAAAAATATTTTTCAAAAATCACAAAAAAAATGAGGTCAAATTAGCGGAAAAGTGGAGATAAAATCGCGGAAAGTAAGGTAAGAATCGCGGAAAAATGAGGATGAAATAGCAGAAAAATAAGTTTGTAATCGCCGAGGAGTGAGAGTCAAAAATCGCAAAAAAGTGAAAACAAAATTGCAAAAAAGTGGGTCAAAAATCACAAAAAAAATGAGTCAAAAATTTCAAAAAAAGTGAGTGTGAATTTGTGAAAAAGTGAGATAAGAATCGCGAAAAAATGAGGTAATATTTGCGGAAAAGTGGGTTTACAATCGCGGAAAAGTGATAGTAAAATCTAAGATTTCTAAATTATGACGTCATCAAATTGGATTTTTCAATGAATAATAAATTGGAAGCATCTTTCCTACATAAAATTATTGAATTTGACATTTATCAAAAGATCCAAACAACCAGCACCTTGTTTTACAGGTAATGAAATGTCTTGTCAGTTTCTTGAAAGTATGTCGTGGTCAGTAATTATTTTTGCTAGAAATGCAACAAAATACAGAAGAAAGAGAAGATTGCATCGATCCCTTGAAAAATATAGATGAGGCGGCCAATCGGGCTACCTCAGTTGTTCCAATTTTACCATTAATATCAATGTAAATAACTAAAAATACAAACATTTTTGACGTTCGCTCTCAAAATTTGATGTTTCATTTTTAACACTAGTGCTATAAAGACTTTATGGCACTAGTGCGATAAAGTAACATTTTTAATGCTACGGGGGTTGTTAAAAATTGCATTTTTGACACGTTTGTAGAAAAAGTTTTTTTTTTTAAAGATAAAAGTCAAAATGACATTAAGTTGGCAATGCAATGTAAAATTGTCAATGCTTTCAAATTTTTTATGTAGAAAAGGCTTGTGTTGCCAACATAGTTATTGAATTTTTGACTTGAGGAATTATCTTTAAAAAAAAAAACATACTTTAACTTTCCCCAGAAAAGTGTGCAAAATTTGAAAATAGGCATGCGAAATTGTGCAAATTTAGGTGAATAGGAATTTTTCAAGTTTTAGACAAACAAGGGGGAATGGTCAAGTTTGCCCCTAGTTTAAAAAAATGCTCTAGTTTTCGTTGTGTTGTGTGCAAAATTATTATGGTTTAGGTATTTATTTTTGAAATTTGTTTAATACAGGCGGAAACTTGACCGACCCCAAAATTTACTTGTTGGTAAATAAACCGATCTACTGGAAAATAAATAAATAATTCATAATTCGAAATTAAACATAAATTTCTAAGTGACAAATTTGCCAAATATACTGAAAAAAAAACCTAAAGAAAATGATAGAATAGCATCCATCTATGATATTCGTTGGTAAATTATCAAATATGTTAGAAAATATATGCTTAACTTCCTAATTCCTTTTGGCACGCGTCTGTCTCCCTATGCACGCAAAGCAAATATTTCACTTTAATAATTTCATTCAGAGAAGCAGACACGGATGCTGGCTCGCTGGCTGGACGCTGAATCAACAGCACTGACAACTCGGCAACAGTGGGCAATAGACTCGAGCCAGCGTCCACACCGGCAAAAGCCGGCGTCCATCGAGGTATCAAAAATCAGAATACGGACGAGACTTCTAGAGACGTTAGTCTATAATATTCTTTGGTATAATCTACTATTTCTACACATATTTTATTGGTAGTAGAATTTTTTTTATGTACCTATGCAAACTTTGTATATGAACCTTTTTTCACGAATGTGGATTTTGTCGCACTCGCCTTTCACTTTACACACTTGTTGCATAAATAGCTCTTTCGGAGAAGTCCGGATTTTGTCCGGATTTCTTGACTCCTTTGTCCTGAATTCTGAAAAACCTTTATGGAAACCCTAACCTCATGATACTTCAATAGCAAGGGAATCACTAGATATAACATTTGGGGAACGAAGGATAAGGCTGATCCTATAGATTGGACACCTTACTCTCCTGATGAGAGATCTAGACTGTTTTCTTTGGAGTCATGTTAAAGAAAGATGTGCTAATACTTTGCTGGATAGCTCAAATAGTCTAGAAAATCTTAAGGGGAAAATTTGTAACGTCATTGAAGCGATCCTCCAGGAAATGTTTCACAATTTTCTTAGCTTTTTATTATGGAAACATAAGTTCCAAGCTTTGCAAAAATACCAAGATTTCGATTTTGATTTTTTACGGCTAAAACTTGTGCTTTAGAGACGATGTCTATTCGTATGTACCATCGTCACCAAAAGTAACTGGGACAGCATCACATTAGCTCTTGTCCTATTATAAGAATTTTATTGTCATATATTTGTCAAACTATGAATTAAATGCATTGAAATGAATGACAGTAGAATTAGTCCAGGAGATTATTATGTATTATCCGTGTCCCAGATACTTTCGGTGACGATGGTACATAGATACCTTGAACATAAGTCTTTTTTTGGCGTTGTGATATACAGGATGTTCCATTGAAAATAGTGGAGAATTTCGATGTTGGAAAACAGATATTTTTTACTCGCCTTGTATAAGTTGCAGAAAAATTTGCAATTCACTAGAAAAAACTTCAGGCACAGAGGAATCAAATGGTGCAAACCAGCAAACCGCAGGTAGTTAGCACACAGCACACCTGGTTCAAAAGTTATAGGCATTTAAAATCAGTCAGTCTCGGCTGGGACACCCTGTATTATTATAGCATGCTTTGTTGTTCCTAATAATGCCCGTCTTACATCTGTGTATTTTTTCGTGTATTTATTCATGTAGTTCAGGGTGGCAACATTATTTTGTTTTTCATAATGCTGACTTTTGTTGCGTTCGAAGTTTTTCGGTTGTCACCCTGAACTACATGAATAAATACACGGAGAAATACACAGATGTAATAGAGTAAAAATCAAACGAGAAGAAGCCATTGTCGTTAGCGCTGACAAAGAAGGCAGATTTTCTTTTCTCTGGGTCCCTCCCATTTAAAGTGAGACAAACGATAACGCGTGTGGCTTCTTCTCGTTTGATTTCTACTCTACGGGCATAAAATAAACCATAGTTTTGAAAGTTCTATTTTGTTTTGGTGCGGATGGCATGCATCCCCAATTTTCACGTACCTCATCAAAATTTTTCCGTTTTTTCCACCAAAATATCATAATAGAAAATTCCACTTACCTTCCATGTACTTTTCTGATTGTTGATATGCTGAATAAACTCGTCAGATAGCGGATGTAAATAATTTTCATCGGCACTGATTACTCCCAAGAGTAAAAAGGGAAAGATCAAAAAAATTAACATTTTACTGAAAAAAAAAAAAAAGAAATATCACTTATGTACTTAAAATGTGAGAATTTTTTAATAAGAATTTTCTATGTGGTAATTAGCTTTAGATGTAATAAGTACCCATACATAGGTGTATTTGTAAAACACAAGCCTGAAAAATAATGCCAAAGTCCGTTTCTTGAACATCAATAAATAACTATAATTTTTTATCACAAAAGAAATAAGTACACCAATATTATTTACCAACCAGAGAAACTCAATTAAATTTATCACTAATAATAATTATTGTTGATGTTTATTTAGGGTCAAATACAAGTTAAATCGATATCACAAAAACTGTATATTATTCGTTTATCATTTGTGTTACTTTTGTTAAGCAGAAATTAATTATTATGATCAAATAAGAATCTTAAAATCTTGATTTTAGAATAAAATAAGAAATTAAATGAAAACTGCTTATGTAAAGCTCAAGTGAAATCAGAACTGAAACTCCAACGGCTACAATTTTGCTATTCAATAATCTACAAGTGCTTGAAAAAATTACTAATTTTTTTTCTTAAAATAAAAAAAACTTAAACTAAGAAAAGAGATTTTAAGTCTGAGAAAATAGAGAAATCACATAAAATATCAAAAATTCTTACCCAGATAATAAATTCCACACTTGGTTTCTTTTATTAACAACAAGGATAAACAACTACTACTAAGAAAGGAGCTGAATGCGTAAATGAGATTAACCAATAATCCAATTTTGTTATTAATTTCTTAAGAGGCCAACAACAAATTCAAGCGCGCGAAATTCATTCTTTGTCGCCGAGTTCAAAGTAGGACCGTGATAGACGACGTTACGGCAAATATTTCCGAGATAACGGAAGGGTGTGATCAAATTGCATGGAAGGTGAATAATAAATCCTATGGGCTTTTGTGGAGGCAAAACTAATACACCTATCATATTTAATCTAAATTAAAAAGTATACAGTTATAATAATAGTTTTATAATTTACATTGTGCTTTTTATTTAACAAATAAGAATGTGGAGAATGAAATGTGCGGAAACACAAAAATATATTACAAAGATAATAAAATTTACCTATACAAATACAGCAAAATAGATACTTGAAATGTTTACACAAAAAAAAAGTGAGGTGGCGTAGTTACGAGGGTGGGAGAGATGATGTTTATTCGTTTATTACATAAAGAACTTCCAGAAAACCTAGAAAAATAATAAACATTGGTGAGATTGCTCATGAAAACCTCGGACACATCGATTTTTGATTTCAGTTGCCGTTTTTCTGATGGTAATATCATGTATACAGGGTGACCCAGAAACAAGTTGTGACCGCTAACTTTATTTTTTTAAATCAAAACATTAATTTTGAAGTGAAAACTTCTTTAGAATCGTTGGGAGTGATGTGAGACTCGATGAAACGAAAAAGCGACATGACACTTTTTTAACACGCTTATATTAACACACAACAAGAACCTGGAACAAGCCAAGTGAGCTGGAACAAGTCTGGAAAATGTCTGGATAAATCTGGATGAAGTCTGGAAATCTCTGGAAACGTCTGGAAAGAGCCTGGAAATTTCTGGAAAGGGTCGGAAAAATTCTGCCAAAGGTCCCAAAAGACCTGGGGATCATTCTCCAGAATCCGGATCAGTCTGTACAAGTCTGGATAAATCTGGATTAAGTCTGTAAAACTCTGGATAAGTCTGGATATTGTCTGGAAAAGTCTGGAAACGTCTGGAAAAGACTTGGAAATTTCTGGAAAGGGTTGGAAAAATTCTGAAAAAGGTCCCAAAAGACCTGAGGATCATTTACCAGAATCCGTATCAGTCTGAACAACTCTGAATAAAGTCTGGATTAATCTGGATGAAGTTTGGAATACTCTGGAAAGCTCTGGATAAGTCTGGATAATGTCTGGAATTCTCTGGAAACGTCTGGAAAAAGCCCGGAAATTTCTGGAAAGGGTCAGAAAAATTCTGCCAAAGGTCCCAAAAGACCTGGGGATCATTTTCCAGAATCCGGATCAGTCTGAACAAATCTGGATAAAGTCTGGATTAATCTGGATGAAGTCTGGAAAACTCTGGATAAGTCTGGATAATGTCTGGAAATCTCTGGAAACGTCTGGAAAAGGCCTGGAAATTTCTCGAAGGGGTCGGAAAAATTCTGGAAAAGGTCCCAGAAGACCTGGGGATCATTTTCCAGAATCCGGATCAGTCTGTACAAGTCTGGATAAATCTGGATGGAATCTGGAAAACTCTGGGAAGCTCTGAATAAGTCTGGATAATGTCTCGAAAAGTCTGGAAATCTCTGGGGCTGACACGCTATTATAATACATCGAACTAAAAAGTGAAAAATAAATGTATTTTAAAAAAACTAAAAAACACGCTTTTATAGTAAATTGAACTAAAAAGTGAAAAATAATTTTTAATAGAAACAGAAAATATTAATGAACAAAAAATATTAGAATTATTGTCAAAAAAGCGTGGGGTGCTCAATGTATGAAAAATGTGGAACAAAGCACCCCACCGTGTATTTTAGTTTTTTCAAACTATATTTATTTGCGTTCTTTCTCAAGTCTTTTGGAGGGGGGGGACGCCACTGTGTATGTTAGTATGTGTGTAATGCATGCAGTTCGATGAAGGTTTCACTTCTACCGGGTGTGAACTGTACAGGATTTTTTTTAATTTCATTTCTTATTTCTACGTTACATTCTGAACTTATTTAATGTATCATATCCTATACCTATCTTCAACTGTTTCGGAAATAATAAGAGTTGAAAATTAACTTTTTTGCAACTTTGACAGGCTTTAAAACCTCAACGGTTGATTTTAGAGCTAAACCGATCATACATTCTTATCTGAGTTTTCCATGAACTATCATTTGACACCAGCTTGGAAATTAATCCAAGATTAAAAATTCCATTGCTTGAGTTGTATTTTAGCTATTTTTGGGTTTGAAAAAAGGACGGTTCTAGAACGGTTCAAAACAATCGCACAGTTTATTATTGAAGTTTGTGATAGCTGAACCGTTGTCATTTAGTTGATTGATGAACTGTGCGATTGTTTTGAACCGTTCTAGAACCGTCCTTTTTTCGAACCCGAAAAGAGCTTTTATGAGAGAATTTCATGAATCAAAAATTTAAATTTTTTGTCAAAAAATGTTAAAACACCAGTGTCGCGCCAATTATCGCGTGAAGCCTAATTCTCACTTGCGCGAGATTCGCTCTTTTTTGACATTGCTTCAATAATTTGACGTTTGATACACGCATAAAACGTAAATCAACAATCAAAACATGTCAGTTTATTGTTGGAATGTCAGTTTTGACAGATGTATGAAATTCTAAATGTCGAGTGCAATGGAAATTGTCGATAATTTTTGGGAAATTTGCCCGGATGCATTTTTAGTTAAAAAGGAGCACCAGTGCTTTTTCAGTGCCCATTTCTGTCAAAAACGCATGAGTGCAAATTTGTCAAAAATTGAAAATATATTTCCATTGCACGAGTTGTACAGGGTGGCCCGTTTAAGAGGGGCCTATACCTTATCTCGAAATCTACGAGGGCTGCAAAAAAAAATTAAATACAAAAGTTGTTTCTAATAAAATTATCTAAATTTTTTTTGCATTGTTTTTGTTGTTACTCTACTATATACAGGGTGGAGAGATAAAATTTAATTTTTTTTAATGAAACACCCTATATATTTCAAAACACTTTCATATAGCTCTTTGAAAGACAAATCCAACGATATACTTGACATGTGTCTGTGATAAACCGTTTCGAACTTATTAGCGATAATCTTCAGGATCTGGGGTAATTTCAAACAGGCATTATTACGTTACTCATAAACTTTTAAAACTTTTTTTTGCATGCTATTTTCATAAAATAATGCTCTTCTTTAGACTATTTTGAAATTTGGAATATTTGTTCAAAAAACGCCGTGTTGCCACGTTTCGCAAAATGTTACGCTTTTCAATTTTTTTAAATGGGACCTCCTGTAAATTTTCGAATTTTTGGATAGCCCTTTAAAATACAAATTCAACGATATACTGGAAATGGGTTTGTGATGCACCGTTTCGGCCTTATTGGCGATTATCTTCAGTTCTAGCACCATATTTTATGTCATCCCTGTTGAATAAAGAAAATGTCTAATTTTGCAGTAGATTAGCTGAAATAGTGCTCTTTATTATTATTATTCATTCAGAAGTAGTTAAGAAAAGACGTTTAAGTTTTTGTTTTCATTAGTTTCTCGCCTTAATAATGGGGAGAAACTTTGACTACTCTTTGAACAAATGATAATAAAAAAATATTTCGCAAATTATTTAATAATACCTACTGCAATAAACTATAGTTGCAGTAAACAAGGAAAGCATTGAATTATAAAGTCCAAAATAAAGGTTACTGATTAAGATTATATGAACAAACATTTTGAGAACTTCAACTTCAGGCTAACTATAAAATTAATTTAATTAAATTCTCTGTGTCCGCCATTTTCAACAATACAGGTAATATATCTTACTTGTAAATGTGTTATCGCATTTAACACGTAATTAGGTTGATCTGACAAATATAGCAACAGAGCGTCACGTTTCATTTTTTGTTTTTATCCAAATTTCTCGCCTTTTTTATTTTAATAATGGGGAGAAACTTTGACTACTTTTTGAATAAATAATAATAATAAAAAGCACTATTTCATCTAATCTAATGCAAAATTGGACATTGTTTTTTATTCATCAGGGATGACATGAAATATTGTGCTAGAACTGAAGATAATCGCCAATCAGGCCAAAATGGGTGCATCACAGACCCATGTCCAGTATATCGTTGAATTTGTATTTTAAAAGGCTATCCAAAAATTCGAAAATTTACAGGATGTCCCATTTAAAAAAAATTGAGAAGCGTAACATTTTGCTAAATTTCAGTATAGTCTAAAAAAGAGCATCATTTTATAAAAAATATCACGCAAAAAAAAAGTTTCAAAAGTTTATGAGTAACGTAACAATGCCTGTTCAAAATTACCCTGAATCCCTGAAGATAATCGCTAATAAGTTCGAAACGGTTTATCACAGACACATGTCCAGTATATCGTTGGATTTGTCTTTCAAAGGGTTATGTAAAAGTGTATTACGATATAGGGTGTTCCATTTAAAAAAATTAAATTTTATCTCTCCACCCTGTATATAGTACAGTAACAACAAAAACAATGAAAAAAAAATGTAGATAATTTTATTAGAAACAACTTTTGTATTTAATTTTTTTTTGCAACCCTTGTAGATTTCGAGATAAGGTATAGGCCCCTCTTAAACGGGCCACCCTGTACAGTGTTTCCGCTTCAGTTCGCAACATATGGGAAACTTTTTTATTATCAATTTTACAAAAAAAAGTTATTGTTTATGAAAGTTTCTGCTTCTTGAAAAAATATATAGTATTAAACTATTAAAACTTAGAATAGCATGTACCGGGTGTTCTTTTATCTTTGATATCATTTTGATCACCTGTAACTTTTTTGTTTTCAAAGATATCAAGGTAAACAAAAAAACAAAATGTAGGATTAATAGCCAAGTTTTTTTTCAAGTTACACATGAAACAAAACATCAAAACACTATCAATTTTTCGACATATAAGCTAACATTATATTTTTTTTATTTTGGTTTCATATCGAAGTCTTTTCGACACTAAAAGTAGTTTCGAAAAGAAGCTCTTTGTGACACTCCTTTTTCACTTATCGGAAGTTGGTAACACTGGCTGACTGATGGCCATCGCACTGTCATTCTCGATTTTATAGAAGATTTAGGGCGAGTATTATAAAACTGCTTTGACAGTTAACTTAAAGTTAACTTTTTGAATTACATGTAATTTCAAAAATTAACTTTAAGTTAACTCTCAAAGTAGTTTTATAATACCCGCCCTTAATTCTATATTTGGCATGTAATATGTAATGTTACCAACCTAAACATGAAATCAGGAAATATGAGAATAAAATTTCCAAGAAAAATTTGTTTTTTTTTAATTAAACAATACCAGAATAGAAAAAATAGTATAAAATATTCGTTTCATAAGACATTTTATCGCACTCGTCCTTTAAAAATCTCGCCTCCGGCTCGTTTTCTAATATAGGGCTCATGCGATAAAATTACGTCTTATGAAGCTTGTATTTTAATAAACTATTTTTAAATGGAACACCCGGTATATTATATGTGTGTACGTTAGAGCATATTATTCTGATTACAATGATATAACACACTTCATATTTTGTTCCACTCGTTTTTGACAAATCGGCAAAAATATATGAAATTTTTATATGCTCTCAATAATTTTCGTCCCAAATATCAGACCGTGCCGCCTAATAAGTTTCACTTCGAAAGTTTCATATTTTTGCCGATTTGTCAAAAACGAGTGGACCAAAATATGAAGTGTGCTATATCATTGTAATCAGAATAAGATATTATATCGAACACATACCTATATAATATACAGGGTGTTCCATTTGAAAAAATATAATGTAGGCTTATATGTCAAAAAGTTGATAGTGTTTTGTTTTACGTGTAATTTGAAAAAAAACTTGGCTACTAATCCTACATTTTGTTTTTTTGTTTACCTTGATAACTTCAAAAACAAAAAAGTTACAGGTGATCAGATGATATCGAAGATAAAAAAACACCCGGTACAGGGGGATTAAAAAATAGGAAAATATGCAGGGTTTTTTGGTAAAATTAGAAAAAAAATGGCACATCACTATTTTTTTAAACCTTTGATATTTTTTTCAGATTAAGCAAGTCATATTTCAGTCAAAAGAAACCTTTCGTTATCACAAATCAACCTGCCAAATTTAAAAAAAAAAAAAAAATGGAAAAATTTTTGAGCTGAAAAAACGATTTTTTCTAAAACTTTGACACCCTGTATCTCAGAAACTACGCATTTCTGGTCACATATTTATGGGAACTATTTTTGTTAAAATATCGTAAGGAATGACATCCTGAAGTTACGGACCGTACTTAGGAAATACCCTGTATATTTTTCTATTTTTTGACCACCCTGTACATGCTATTTCAACTTTTAATACATAGTTTGATATTATTTTTTCAAGAAGCAGAAACTCTTATAAAGGATAACTTTTTTTCGTAAAATTGATAATAAAAAAGTTTCCCATGTGCTGCGAACTTAAGTGGATACACTGTATTTTATGAGAAAATTTCATGAATCAAAAATTCAAATTTTTTGTCAAAACACCAGTTCTCGCATTAGTTACTATGCAATAATTTACACTAATATAAATTATCACGTAATTCCAATCTGATTGGTTCAAATCAACAATCAAAACATGTCAGTTTATTGTTGGTATATCAGTTTTGACAAATGTATGAAATTCTTATCAAAAAAACGGCCATTAAAATCAAAAATCGACGTATCCGAGATTTTTTGAAAAAAAAATCAACCTTGTATTTTTGATGGATTTTATTCCTAACCTTCACGTACTAACTGTATTTAACTATGCTATATGATATCCTCTTTCGTTTATTGAATTCTAGTAAAGTTATCTTTGTTCGTTTTGAGTTCATTATGAAATATATTCACCATAATTATTTACACAAACTAATAACTGGCCTTGCAGTCCTCTCGCGTCGTGTAATTTTTACTTACCCCGGTGCGAAATTAAATCCGCCAGAGGCAGCACGTCGCTGCAGCCAAAATTTTTGAATTTCCGTGTTTGCAGGGCTTACAATTTGAGACGAGATCTCAAAAACTACTTAATATTTTTGAGTGAATCAAGAAGATTCGAAAAGATAATAAAATTTAGAACAATGCTCTTGTTTCATTTTTTTAAAAAAGCGATGGGTTTGGATGTACCGAGCGATAGAAATGATGCTTTTTTTCGAGTATTTAGGTCGTGATATTTTCAATTTGCAATTTTTTTTTCGAAAAACTAAAACAACAGCATTATTCTTTAGATTTTTATCTTTTATTATTTTCTAATCCGGTCAAAAAATATTACAAAATAAGTGAGTTCTCGTCTCAGGAAATTAACCCTTTTTCTCAATTTTTAACGGCTTGTTGTTGGCCTCTTAACCAATAATCCAATTTTGTTATTAATTTCTTAAGTAGTGGCGTTACAATAATTAAGTCCACATAATATTTTTGTAAATAGTTACAGATCTTTTAACTTTATTAATGATAAATAATATGTTGAATAAAAAATAATATAACAATTAAAAATAACACATAACAAAGCAGCCTTTTATAATAATATTCAAACTATTTCCCAATCACTTAGCGAAGAATCATTTGCAGATGAACTGTGTCTATTTTTTCTTGTGATAGGAATGCTGCTGGAACTGGCATGACTTTTTCTGTCCGAGTCGCTTTCGCTTGAAGTTTGAAGACTGGCGATGTTCCAGTCGTTTGGTACAGTGACAACTGGAAAAGGAGAATAAATTATCACAAAAGAGGATTGATTTTTTTTTTGGTTGTCAAACACTTGAAATTCAATTTACTCAAAAACTATAAATCTGCGAATATTTTAAATTACAGCCCATTTAGAGTTTAATAAGAGCTATAAATGCTGAAAATTTCAATGCAATTTGTTCAACGATTACTTATCGAGGAATTGAGGTTTTAAAAAATTGAAATCAAAATTTAACGGGGTTATCCTTATGAAAAACTCGATTTTTTTATTTTTCAGTTTTGCTTAATTTTAACTTTATTAACAGATAGAGCGGAACAAAATTAGTTGAAAACAACCCTGATATTAATTGCAAATGGCTATTTTAAGGAAAAACTAAAATTTTAAAAAAAAAAATCCTATTTTTGGCTTCAGAAAATTTTCAAAATTTTGATATGATCATGAACAATTGCCCATATCTTTGTTAAACTTTCAGTAAATTCGAATAAATTATACAGCATTGGAAAGAGCAATAAATTCTCTATAAATCTGTGCAAAATTGAGTTTGATAGCTTTAGTAGTTTTTGAGCAATAATTGAGCCCCAAATTACAAAAAATTTCAACTTTGACGGCTCATATTCGTCGCTTATCTGACAAATGGGCGTAAGTACCATTAGCATTATTTGACAGGAAAGCAATTTAAAGAAAATGTACCATATACATGGTTCCGTGTTTGTGTTAATTGAAAAGCAGTTTCAGTGATAATATTTTATTTAGACAGCTAAGTACACATACTTTTTCCAAATACTATTCGAATTCAAGAAATTTCAGGCGAACATGATAAAATATGACTTAGATGAACATACGTCCCTTCGTCAGATCTGAATATTATTGTTATCTTACTTATGCCTAATAATGCACTTAACAAAACATTAGTAACAATCTATGGTAAAGAACAAAAAGAAACTCCCACTCTATAAACGAAACACAAACAAAAATTAACATTAAAAAAAATCGGTTAATCCATATGAATCACAAGAAATAAACAAAATAACTTTATTCTAAAAGAAGTAAACGAGAAGCTAATTATTCCAATCATGGGGAAGGTCTTTGAAGAATAATTGTTGAAAAGTTTTGTCTGGCACGACTTGTATCCGACCTGTGCATAGATCCGTAAGATCTTTGTATTTATTTGCTGGGAGTTTTATCTGGCACTGTTTGATTTGGGTATAGGTTTTTGGAGCAAATCAGGTCTTTGTAGTGGCGGTAGTGGCAGTTTCTGATATTCAGCATCATGATAACTTTTTTTAATATTGATTACGTTATCTTTGTTTACCGGTACTTCCTATTAATTTTAGTCCAGTCAACATTTTCACCAGCGTCCAATTTTCTGGTTACGCGAATTTCAAAAACCGTGTAGGTACAGCAAATTGCTTCTGGCGAGTCTAAAGATGGGGGGTAACTGAACTGTGCTCGTCAAGGACGTATATAAGGGGAGAAGGGGGGGTTTTGGGGGTTCGAACCCCTCCCATTGAACTGAATAAATTATTTTTATTGAAGACAAATAAACGTTTTTGGGCGAGGCACCCGAAAAAAAAAATTCGCCTTTGACGATATCCAGAGCTGTGCGGTACTCGGGTACGGTACGAGTACTCTTCACTTGTATTCCAAGTATATTTTTAGTTACTCGGTACTCAGGCCAAGATACTTTCTGAATCGCGTACTTGTACTCGTACTTGGACTGCTTAAGAATATAGAAAATAGGTACCCGGTACTTTTTATTGTACCGAGTAATTTTCAAAATACCCGCGTACATGCGTTTTTACTTAAATACATTTGTTATACCCGGGTATTTTCATTGTTTTACAGTTGGTGAGTAAAATTATTGGACTCTAACTAAATACATATTTATTTGGACACAAGTATATTTCCAGACAAGTTGAGATTTGACATATTAGGTCTGTTCAAAAACCGTCCCATGAACGATTTGGAAACCACTCAGTGAACGAATTTCGGTTTCTACGCGCAAATTTTAGAGTTTACGCAGAATCATGACGATAAATTGTACGGTTTCCTGCTGTGTTGGAACAGACCTATTATGTTACGGTTACGATATGACCAATTTTCAGCCATTTCTTGTTTAGCATCAGATGCTTAGCATGCGTTCCATTGATCGTTGTGATTTGCAAACGAAAATTTTGAACTTTTCTGTGCACTGTGACATTGTGTCTGTGGCCATAAATTTGGAAATTCTGATTTCCTTTTACAATAATTATCAAAAGCTACCTTGAAGCACAACCCAAACACGGTCATAAGCAACCCAATTGCAAACCCATAAAGCACATCTTATGATTTAAATTTTGGAAAACTTTGAAAGGTCATTACTTTTTTTCTATTATAGATAGAAAGATAAATTTTCACTAAATTTTATCTCAATAAAGAGGTTATTTGAGACTCCAAACCCAAGGGCTTCATTTTCGAAAAAATCAACTTTGAATCTTTTGTGAAATTTAAGACAAAGTTTTGACTTTGAGCCTCAATATCTCCAGAAGTATTTAAGATAAAAAATTGAATGTTATTCTATCTTAAAGATAATTTAATTCTGATTCAAAATATATAATTATACATCATAATATGTGCAGTTATAAGCGAGTGATGTGCGATTTTATGAGACAATGTCAGATTATTGAAATTTTCTGTGCCCAAAATGTGGAAAAACGGTTTTTATTTTTTTACCCAAAAAACAAAGTTGCGTTAATGCTTTTCCACTAATTTTCACCTCCTCTTTCGATTGGTAAAGTCAAAAATTGCAAAATCCGAAAATTTAAAAATTCAAATTTTTTCAAAGGGGTATGCATGGAAATTTGATTTTCAAATGTTTCGAAGGGCCATATTTTAGAAACCAGTGAAGCTATCGGCATGAATCTTTTGCATAATTGTAGCTCTGGAGAAGAGCTATAAAAAAGGTTATTTGAGACTCCGAGCTCAAGGGCTTCGTTTTCAAGAAAATCAGCTCTGAATCTTTTGTAAAATTTGAGACATAGTTTTGACTTTGAGCCTCAATATCTCCAGAAGTATTTAAGATAGAGAATTGAATTTTATTCTATCTTAAAAATAATTTAATTCTGATTCAGAATATATAATTATACATTATAATTTGTGCAGTTATAACTGAGTCCTTATAAACTCTGGACTCTGGATAACCAAATCAAACTTCAAAATTGCTGAATTCATTTAGTAAACCAAAATGTGTTTTTCAATTTTTGATGTGTGAACATCTATACCGGCGGTTTGACGGTAAATTTCGGGAAATGTGGCGGAAGTGTGAAAGGGGAGGTGACCTCATAACCCATGTGCAATGCTAAGTTCGCAGCTACCTCAGCGCTTGCAGCCTATGAGGATTCATTAGATTTCCATGATAGATCAAGGCTGTTTAAAAGAGGACGTTGCGTAATAACTTGTACCTATGACATCATTGGGTAGTAATGCAAGGTGGTATTAGAATGTATTCATAAATGTACATGGTACTTTGAATACTTGGGTATTGAATACTTGTAATTGTACTGTACTCTGTACTCAAGAACATTCTATGCTAAGTATATTTTACCTGTACTCCAAACAGCTCTGACTATGCTACGCTCGGTCACCTATACATCGTCTGGTCTAAAATTGAAACCCTTTCCAGCAAAGACCATGAGCGGCCATTACTGCTCTAAACCCCCCCATGTGGAAGCTATAGCTACGTCGTTGGTGCTGGTGTATAATTATTTCCGGCGGACCGAATTGCTGTTGCAATAGAACTGTGGGCGGAATTCCCTCCTTTTTGCCCATGATTTGTTTGGAAAAAGGATAATACAATTTCACGTATGTTTTTTGAATTTGCGACAACTTTTAGTAACATGGTGAAAACGATTGTATTTTTGTTCTGGCCACCACAACCATCTGCGAAGAGCTTTACTTCTTTGATTCCTTGGTTGTCCAGTTTTGTAAATATCTGCCAACCATGTAGACATTTCATTGACACCGCTTTTACTCATAACTTCCGACCAAGAGAAGCAGTAGCACTCTCTATTGCCTATATTGTGAATACTGACACACAAACGACGACGATAAGGCAATGCATTTTATTTACTTATAGGCAACTGAATAACTTGTTGCATGTCAAAAAAAGCAGCAGCTATTAAATCTGGGTTGTTTTTGAACATTTCCTTAGCATCCTCCTTCTTTTTGCACACAGTGTTTTTCTCGGCGACATTTGCAGTGTATGCATCTTGAAGCTGTAATTTTTTATTTGCATTGGGAACTTTTGTATGTGAGCCAGAGCTGAGGCTCTCATAACTTCGTCTTTTTGTTCCAAGTTTGCATTATGCAAGGCCCTACATATTTTTCGAACAGACTATGCCTTCCACCGTTCTCTTGCTTATTGCCGTCCGAACTGCTTTTTTGGAAATTGCCAGTGTGTTCTAAAACGTACGCAATTTTACAAACTGGTAATGATGCTCTGCCTTTGGTAAGCAATAAGCCAAAGTTCTTGTTCTTATGGACTCTGTTGCAGCAGTTCTTCTCTTTTTAACATCATTCTCATTGACATGGCGTACAATCAACTCCCTCTGTAATTGGAGACTTTGTCTATTGTAGAAAGCATGAAATATTTCCTGGAATTCTGCCTCAGTTAACAACTTGCAGCCATCATTTTTACATTTTTGAGAATCACATCGCGGCTTCATGATTCTTTGCTTCTTGATTCTTGCTTTTCCAAAAAGGGACTCGCGTATGATTTTCCTTCTGTTTTTAGGGTGCTTGAGTTATATCCCGTGAGAACTCCAATTCAGCATTTATATTGTTCTATTCAGCTTATTTTAATATTATAAAAGAAGTAATTTCTAGATTTAAGTCAGTTCTATTGTATTAGTCAAATAAAGTTTTTTAAAAACGCTCTCTCGTGTACACCCCTCGTAAGTGGCGCAGTCGGTAGGATTTTGACGGAGACTTCGGTAAAAAACAGTCCGGTTCAGTCGAAAATTTGGATTTTGCG